AATTTAGTCCTTAGTGTAGTTAAATGCTATATTCAGGCAGCAAATGGTCCCTAATTTCCTACTTTCAACTTTCTGTTTCCTTGTCTCTGTTTGTGAGGCTCTCTGAAATCAGAAAGGAAGGCTTTTTATAAAGAATTAAGCTGCCTTAAACTTTAGTGTGATGGATCTGTTTTAGGGGCAAATGACTTTAGCCTGTCCTGACAGGGCTTTGAGGACTTTTGGCTTACATTTTGTTTTTGGAAGCCTGTGATTAATTTATCTGCTGTTCTCTCCACCTTTATCCTTTACTGTGTGTTTTTTAGGTACACATTCCAAAGGTGAAATACAGGCTCAGAATAGCTGGCTAGATGGTGTTAGGATGGAAGGAAGGGAAAGGAAGACAGTACTATATTATTACTGACCTAGCCTGTGGGAATTAAAGGTCCACTAGGTATTTCTTTACCAACACAGAGCAGACAGACTGTTTATTACTCAAAACTGAACTTCTGCATCTTCAATCATCATTTCTAAGCTCTGGAAAATATTGGTGTAAGCAGCCAGAAAATTCTCTTTTTCAATAAGAAAAAGTCATTTCATTTATAATTTTGAGCTAGCTGGAAAATTTCCCCTAGTCACAATCTCCACCCATGGTTATTAAACACAATTGAAAAATACTAGTGGAAACAATACTCAGACCAAGTTCAAGACGTACTCTTGTCTTAATCACATACAAGTTGTGTGACTTTGGACAAGTCATTGCATGAGGGCTCCGTCCTATCTTTATGCCCCCATCTTTTTCTAGCTTCAGTGTTGAATAGGTGGCAAAATTAATTCTTAATTTGGTCTGATCCCTGTCAGGTTAATTTGAACTGTAGCTGTCTGCTATTAGTTGAATTATCTTCTCCTACAGTCCCCTTGCCACTTGCAGTTACTTAAGAGCAGCTCTCTTTGAGGATTTAGGCTTTTTCTTGCTGGCATAATATTAGGTGCTCTGTAAATGTCACCTTGGGGAAATGCAAAGGTAAGAATGTGCCATTCTTATCATCAGAGTCTGGCTTCATGTAACCGGTAAGAGCAGCCCCAGAGTCACCCAGAGTAGTAGCTTGTTCATTGAGAGTTATTGTATAAGGTTGGACTTGGACCTTGCAAAGCTTTAAGAGGAAAAGAAAATGAAACGAAGCCTTTTTTCTAAAATGCCTACACAACACCATCTGGTGAAGATCAGTTCCCTTGCTATAAATGTTCCAGCTACATCTCCAACTTTTTCCTTTAGGGTATAAATGCTTCATCAGACCCACATTCCCTCCCCCCAACAAACTGTTGGGTATGGAAAAACCTAAGGAGAATAATTTTCTCTTTATGTACCTAGAGAGGAAGAAATTTGGTCTTAGGCCAATGCTACTACTATTAGAAAATAATCACAAGGAGAACTGGATCCAAACTTGGCAAGGAAGTGTTTCCTTGAAGTAGATCATTTTCACCCTAGAATGCTATTGGGCTCAGAAGCCTGGGCAAGGCTATTTTAATGGTTCTCTTCAGTTGAGGTGGGAGTAAGGAGGGCAGAGTAATACCTACCCACTTCTTATCTCATATTGATAGTATTAGAGGTGGAGGGAACATCTCCAGGAATCTGCTGATTGCTGTGTGGGTCTGATGCTGTGTGGGTCTTTTGTTTTCTAAACAGCTGTAATAGGCCCAAAGGACTCTTTAATTTACCTAATTTATTAGCCGTCTGCCACATTTCACAAAAGATTGGAGGGATGAGTTACAAAATCTGTTATGTATTCTAAACTGCTGGTTTAAGGATGGGACTTTTTAAAATTTATTTTTCTCCATGTTGCATTAATTAGCTAGGGATTTGGCTTCTAATCATTTCAAGTTCAATGTAGAAAACAGTAAAAATGTTCCTTCAGTGGAAACTACTTCAAGGCTCCCAGAGCAGTCACTGCCCAGGACTGATGCCTTAATTTGACACTCTCTTGAAATACTTGAGAGTGAATTAAATCTCTTTGGCTTGGTAAGTAAGTTGAGTAGAGTGCCTTATGGATCTGGTTGTTATTTAGCTTAAGTGGCTCCTACATATGTCTGTGGTTCATGGGGGTGGGGCCTGGGGGGAAGTGTAGCAGCTCACCCAGAATTAGTTTTCTTTGTTTTATTCTTTTTTTCTCTAAAATGTGTGTGTGTGTGTGTGTGTGTGTGTGTGTGTGTGTGTGTGAGCGTGCGCATACATACATACTCATTCTGGAGCTATGTGAGAAGTCAAACATGTACCCCTTACTCCCCTCTTTTGATTTGGAATCTGGATCTTTTGTGCATAGCAAAGTGGGAGGAAGGGGAAGAATTATTACCATGTTAGCATAGAAATATCAACTCCAGATGTAGAATGTTAAACAAGTACTGCTTATTATAAACAGATGTCAGAAAAACAAAATAAAAAAGAGATATGCTGGAGGCTAAAGGAACAAACACTAACAGTTTGGAGGAAGTCTTGGAACAACAATGAAATTACTGCTGTCAATAAGTGCAGTAGCATCAATAGCTCTTTCTACCAACGGCCCCATACTCCTCACAAAGACCCATAGCCTTGGGGAGGAAAATAGAGAAGACAATGAATTTTAATCTTCTATCTGTTATTTCTTGCTGGGTCATACTTTTAAAAGGAGAGTTTTGAATTTGTTTAAGATGCATTTCTCTAAAAATCTGCTTCCAAAACTATTCTGACTGTTCACCTCCTTGTAGGATACCCAAGTGTGTTTGGAGACACCCAATTTTTACTCTTAGTGATTGGGAATATGAATGGTCTCTCAAGCTCCTTTAGGATTTTGAAGGTAGTAGTATACTGAGTAAAGCATCCAAATCACCTCAAGATCCTCTAATTTACCATGAACCCAATTTCATCTTGTAATGAAAGTCAGACTTTTATATCAAAAATTGTAAATTTCAATTCCACATTAGGAAGAAAATAAACAATTTTGCACATGATAGAAAAACTTGCTCTGGGAGACATGTCTTTTATCTGGATTGCTTCATAATAGCTTTGTTCATTTCAGAGAATTCCTTTGCTGAAAATTATATCTCAACATGGATTACTTCACGAGAAATTTGATTTTTGATAAATTTTATTAGTGTAACCTGCTTTTGTCTTTGCACACTAAGTTTTTCTTTTGGTTTAAAGGATTACAGAATTGTCATTTAAAACTTATTTCAACAAGTATTGGAAAGATAGAAAAGGTGATAAGTAAGGAAGCAGAAGAAACCGTAAACCATGCTAGTGAGTTTGAAACCTTACAAGATAAAGGCAAGGTTCCAACCTTGTCAGTCATAAATGCACTGAGGCAATGTTTACAACAAAATAAGATAAACAAAACAAGAAAGGCCATCTGATTCCCTATTTAGGCAGGCATCTGTGAATGACCAAAGAATTAGCTACCTACCACACCCAGTTACATACATTGCAGTCATGTACAACAAAAGGATTTGTGATTCTCTAATTCATGTATAACTTTCAAGAGGATCCAAGACTCAATTTGTAGGGTGGCCCTGGGTTGAATACTTCGAACTGCAACAAAATAAAACAAATCAGAAACAAAAACAAAAAAGCTATTTGTGGGTCAACATGATTACCTTGGTAATTATTTAAGTGGTATCAGAATTGTATTTGGATGCATTTTGGCACACTTGTTCATTTGGTATTTCCTTTCTGATTTTGATTACTTTATGTATCCTGCCAGCTTGAACATATGTGGCATCTCTAGAAAGACATATTACAATAAGTGGCTTATAAGTATTGGAGAGGGTGTATGGTGCTAACTGTTACTATTAGGTGATGCCTAAAATCCCTTCTGAAACAAAGTATAAATTAAAAAGGCAAAAATGAGTATGGAAGCAAAAGTGGAGAATCCAGGGGTAGCTATGACTTACTATGCTGTTTCCTTTTGGATACTTCACCAATGTATTTTCTATTTCTCCCTCTCTGCCTATTTTTCTTATCAACTTACATTCTTTGCTCTCTGCTCCCATTGTTCTTTTGTCTCCTCATGGTCCATGCCAATGTAATTTTTTTTTTTGTTTCATCCTCCCTCATAAATTGAATTTGTTCCTTGCATGTGTTGTCAAACAGAAATGAGCATTTTATGACAGAAAATAGCAGCAGCAGGGGCAGCAGGGGCAGCAGCAGCAAACAGAGAGAAATACATGACAAAATCAGAAGAAACCATTTTCGTACTTTTTTGTATTTACATTGGCTATTTCTTTTTCAAATGGAAATTTTTATTATGAAAGGATTTTATTTGAATCACAGCTAAACTTTTCCACTGTCAGTGAGCCCAGGAATAGCACTAACTCTGAAGGACAATAATACAAACTACAATGGATGTCCAAGCTTTACTGATAACCCCAGTATCAGGAGCTTTTTGACACATCTGGATTGATGACTAGGTTTGCTTGCTTCTGCTTTGTGGCATTACAGCCTCAGAAGGATAGTAAGGATTACGGTAGAGAGGTGCTAACCAACCCTAGTTCTGCTTTCTTGATGTCATAAATAAATGTAGACTCAAGTATGAGAATTAGTGCTTCTAAAAGAAGTTTTTTGCTTGTTTTCATAGCAAAGGCATTGTCAGAAACACAAACCCTGAAAAATCCTTTGTTGCCATTTCTGGTTTTTCTCCTTATGTGGTATATAATCCTCCATCTGTTTCTATTCAGATAATTGAAAGAAAGATGGAAAGTATTTTTTATTACAGTAAAAATTGTTTTCTTCTAGAAGGAGACTCAACTCCTTAAAGCCAAGCATGACAAAAGAATGAGTAAATCTACATCTTATAATTACTAACATTTTTCCTTATCAAAATAGGCAAATGAAAGAGAAAATCTTGATTCTATGTTTCATACCACCAGAAAACTAACTTAAAATGGACTTAATGATTTTTTTATTCTCAAAGTAGTTTACATATACACTACTAGTGAACTTCAGTTGAATGCAATAGAAGCATTGGATAATAATGTGCACTGACTTTACTTACTTTCTTGGGCGCCTCCCGCCACAAGTGCTTGCTCCCCCAAAACCAGATGATTAGAGTTAAGGCCAGAATACTGAACAGCAGTCCACAAATCTTAAGTGATTTGCATATCTTCTTGGATTTAAAAGCTTCTGCCTAAGCAAAGAACAGAGAGAATGAAACAATACAAAATAACTCTGATAGCAAGCCATAATTCAAAGTCTCTTTTGATTTCACTTTCCAGTGTTCATGTGACAATAAAATAAATCTATGAAATTATACTTATGCCCCAAAGGCAAAAAATATGAATCAACTTACATTTAGAATGTGACAGTCCTCACAATTCTCTGGAGAGTTCTTTGCCATGTTTCTGAGCTCACAGTACTTTTTCCCTGCTTTGAGAGTACTGAGAGAACACTGCTGAGGTGGAGTTGCAAGTGAGTCTGCTAACAGATCCCAGAGGAGAAGCTGAATTTATATGGCTCAAATATGTCATAACCAGAGCCTGACGGAGCTCAGGGGGCTTTTGTGCTGCGATCTGTTACACAGAAATACCCATGTATGCATATAACTTCTGTACACAGAATTCCATCCAGAATGGCAAAGACAGAGGGTTATAATGAAAGGGATCAAGCCTAGGACACATTAAAATGATTTTTCACTATGAACTTAAAATATCAGTGACAACCCACATTGTGCACTTCAGAAGCAAACAAAATGCAAAGAGAATGCAATTGTGATTTTCATTCCATTCATTTCAATAAATATTTATTGTAAGGATATTAAAGGTCAGCCACTGTGTTTGGTATTGGAGATTCAGAAATGAGTAAGATGGGATTTCCTTCACAATATAAAATATCACTGAAGATTCAAACCAATATGTACTCAAGTAATTATAACATAAAGCAATCAAATAAAGACTAATTATAAGCTGTGCGCCTTTATCTTTTCTTTCAGATTCTTTTTTTTTTTCTTTCTTGAGTCCTTTTTCTCAGTACGTTTCCTAATGTTGATATTCATTATGGTTCTGTCCTTGGTGTTACCTTTGAGGTACATATATTTCTTTTATTTTATTCCTATAGTTTGAAATACCACTTGTGTATCAGTGGTTTCCAAATCTGTATCCGTAACATTTTTTAAATTTCAAAGCCATTTGAACGTCTCTGCTTGGTTGCACCTCAGGAATCTTCAACTCAACGTATCCCATATCAAACTCTTCTTTCAACACTTCCTGAAACTTAGTTCTTTCCCATCATTCAAATTATGATGATGGCTATATTGGTTTTCTAGGATTACCGTAAAAAGTGTCACACACTCAGTGGCTTAAAGCATATATATATATGAATTTGTACTCTTGCAGATCTGGAAATTGGAAGCTCAAGATCAAGATGTCAGGCAGGTTAGGTTTCTCTGGCCTCTCTCTTCACCTCGTAAGTGGGCATTTTCCTGTTCACATGGCATCTTCCCACTATGTGTGTGTGTCTTTTAATTTCTTAAAAATATACTAGTCATGTTAGATAAGAGCCCATCTATATTTTAATTATTTCTTTGAAGACTATTTTCGCACATACAGTCACCAAATTCTGAACTACTGGGAGTTAAGGATTCAATATATGAAATTTGAGGAACACAATTTAGCTTATCTGGTCTTCAAAAGTGAGGTTTGTATAAGAATTCTTATACTTTTTCACAATCCTTTTATCCAATCAAATACCACATTCTATCCATTCTAAATTCTTATGTCTTTCAAAGCTGTTTGCATCTTATTTTGCTCATAGCTAAAGTCTTTGCTTAGGTTGTCATCCTCTCTGACAAGTCTCAAATCCATAATCTTCACTCAGGCTTCTTTCTCTTTGGCTTCAGACTTGTGTGCACATTTAAACTACTGTGTATGTTCACTTGCAGATATCAAATACACGTTCCAAACTGAATTAGTTCTGTATGCTTACAAACATATTCTTCTTGCTATATTACTTGTTTCATTAAATTACCCAACGATTAGACTACAGAATAAAAACTTTCAAGTAACCCTTGATTTCTTTTTCACTTGTTCACCCCGACATCTAATTAGTTACTAAGTCTAGGAAGTTCTATCTCTGAATTATCTCTGTAATCCTACCTTCTGCATCTTCAGTATCCATTGGATTAACTGAGGGTCTAAATATCCAACTGAATATTTAGTCTGCTGAATTTCAGAGTTTAATGAATAAGACAGGTATTAAACCAAAACACTTTTACTGTTGTAAGAGAATTTAAACAATTTCCTTGTCTCTAATCCATTGTCTTCAAAGTAGTCTAAGACTCAAATCTCTCTGATTAGAATTCTTAATATCTATTCATTGTGTACAAAGTCCAAACCATTTATGATGTTATAGTAGTCAGTTCATGGTCAGGACCTTATTTATTTCTGTAGCCTTGATTTCAGACAATTTATTCTTAGAGATAAAGCCAACTGCGGATCTCAGTTTGGCAGGGCAATGGGCATGTACATATGACTCCATTTACATCCTCATGTCTCCAAGTGAAAAAATTTCTTACTATTGGAGTTGTTATCATGCATCAAAATTGATTATAAATTATGGAATACAAGTCATGATTATATATGTTCTACAATTCTTTCTTTAAAAATATCATGAGAGCAGTGAGACTGAAAAATCGTTTTTTTTTTAACTAGATAAGATGGTTCCCTTCAACAATGTTATTTACACTATTCCTTAAATACTTTATATTCTTGATGAATACGCTATACATGCTCATGTCATAGCTCATTTAGGGGTGCACTAGGAGTTGAACCTAAGGTCTTAACACTGAGCTATGTCTCCTGCACATTTTAATTTTTTTTAAAGCCAGTACTTACTAAATTGCTTAAATTGCCGAGGCTAGGTTCCAACTTGCTATCTTTCTGTCTCAATCCCCTAGAGTGTGGAATTATAAATGGGCATAACCATACCCCATTACACACCATAACTCATTTATATATGCTATCTTCATTGCATGGATTCCCTTCTTCCTCATTATTTACCTGGGACTTTTTCATTTAGCTACATTCTAATTAGACCTTACCACTTCCTGAAATCTTCATTGGTCTCCACTCTACCACTTCATTGAGTTTATGATGCTTTTCCTAGCCATAATTTTGTATCTTGCTCACATTTCTACTATTGCACTTAGTACACTATAAGTTGATGTGTATTTCTGTCTTGAATAGACTTTGAGATCTTTTATAACATGGCTTCCCTTGTTGCAAAGATCGAGGTAATATAAAAGTCAAATCAATATTCCATGGAAAAATTGAAGGAGGAATGATTAATTCTGACTCAGGAGTGCAGGGAAAGTGTCATTAAGGACATAGCATTTCAATAGGTTGTTAATTTATTGGCACACATTTATTCAGTGTTGCCCCTGAGGCAGACACTGTCATAGGAACTGGATAGTTAGTCTGCTGAATTTCAGAGTTTAATGAATAAGACAGATATTAAACCAAGAGTGAAAAATCATGTAAATAAATAAAAATAGAAGTTACAAAATTTGCTAAGAAGGAATATTAAAAACATTCAGTTTTGGGGGCTGGGGATTTAGCTCAGCGGCATAAGCACCTGCCTTGCAAGCAGGCAGTCGTGAGTTCGATCCCTGGTACCGATAAAAACGAAAAAGACAAAAAAAAATTCAGTTTGGACTGATCTTCTCAGGGAAGTTCATGCTTAAACTCAGAAATGAATAATGAATAGAAGTTATCTAGAAGAGAGTGTAGCAATGACTACTCCACCCCAAAGAATAGTACTCCACCTTTCTATTCTGTGTTCCTATGTTAATGGCTTCCTTTATAGTTTTCTAAGCTGTTGCTCCATGTCAAGGAAGGAAAAAAATGGAGATGTCAATGTGCAAAACAACACGTACTAGCTGCGTTTACCCTTTTCCATCAATAAAGTAAGACTTTTCTTGGAAGCACTATCCAGGAGATTTTTGCTTTTTGTATTGGCAAGAACTGGTTTGGATGGCCACCCCAAACTATAACAGTTTGCAGAAATTTGATATCATCTCAGCCTGTTACTACTAATAATATTTGGGCTTTGGTATATAAAAGGTATAAGGTTTTTGTTTCAAGCATCATAAAGGTTTGAAGTTTATTCTAAGAAGAATGGGAATTTATTTAAAGGCCCTAGAATTCCTCATATATTTATCTGGTTTCTATGAGAGGAATAAATTACAAAGGAACAGAATGTTGTGACATTTCTGTTAGGAAGTAATTGAAGAAGGTAATAATGGCTTGGACTAGGGAAGTGGTACTAAAATGGAGAGGAGTAGACAGATTTATAAAGTATTTTCAGGGTAGCATACATTTGATAATGGGTTGGATATACAAGGCAAGAGAAAGGAAGAAATAAAACAGGACTACTGTGTTTCTGGTTTGTGCCTTTGGGTGGAAACTGGCACTATTTACTGAATTTAGCAAGCACTGAGGAGGACCAGCTTGCAGTAAATGATGTAAATGGTTTCAGACATGTTGAATTTGAACTGTCCATCAGCATCCAAGAGAAAATGACTAATTTTCAATTGGAAATATGTATCTGGAGCTCAGACAGCAAGTCCTGGTGTGGCAATATACAATTTTTACCTTTTGCCTTTGGGAAAGGTATGGGTTAATGACATGGTCTAGGAAAGAGAGTTCAGAATGACAAGAGAGGAGGGTTTAAGACTGAGCCTCAGGGAACTTCATCACTATTTGTTTTAAAGCATGCTTTTGAAATGCTTTCATTTTTTTTAAATTTTATTTTGATGGTAGTAAAAATACAACAGAACAAGACAGAACAAAGCCAATTGATACAATGCAGTGAAATTGGTACAGAACTTCACAGTAGGATACTGCGATGATATTAATAGGTACTATAGTATATCTCATTATCTTCACAATAGTTGTCCAGTCAATTAGGTGTAGTGAAATCAAACCAAAAACAGAACATTATAAAAACAATTGAATAGAGCAAAAGAAACATAACAAAACAAAAAAATATAAACAACTTTTGCCTTCAAACAGAAGATAGAAGGAAATCCCCCATATTTGCTATTTTGTATATGGTCATCCTCCCAAGATATGTTGACACATCTATCCCCACTTGCTACGAGTGGTGGTGGTGGTGGTTTTGTTTGATTCTCCGCCCACATGCTGGTAGGCTCACGGGAGCCGCTGATTGTCCTCCTGGCCCACCCCAAGGGTGCTCACCAAGAGAGCGGGAACATAAGTTGCCTAGGTTCTACCATGGCCTGATCTCAAGAGTGTTGGTTTTCTTCCTGGCCCACGCCAGGGGCCCTTACTGGTTTTCATTTCTTACACAGGATCTCATTCTATAATTCAGGGTGATCTTGAACTACTCTGTATCTCAGTCTGACATCAAAGTCCTGGAGATTCATCTGCCTCAGCCTCCCAAATGCTGGGATCACAGCTGTGTGCCACCATGTCTGGCTCTCCTATTTTTATAGG